ATTTTGTATTTTAAAAGTGTTTTAAAGTATTTAAATATTATATTAAAGCACCCACTAAGTGCCATACAATGCACTGGGCTCTAAGGATATAAATACCAAGAATGAAACAACGCCTCTCAAGAGTATGATATAGGATGGATAACCCATCAATACCTAAATCTTGAACATATATTGCACCTGGAAAATGAGCTAAGTTTGTATTTGAAAAGGAATAGGAGAGGAGGTAAATTGCCTTGGAGAAATTGCACAATACTTTTAATGATCCTGAGTTGCTCCCAGAAAAAAAGGTTCCTTTTTTAAACATCAATATTCCTCCAGGGATGCAGTATGGCCTTGATTCAAGGAACACTATAATCTCTAAAGAATTATGGCTATAGGTCACCCAAGATGCAATGGAGAGGTACATGGCTTGCATGAGTAAGCTGCAAATATTACCAGCTGAAAATTGCACAAGACAAGTGGCATATAGGATATGATCAGAGAGATCTATGACTAGAAAAGGAGGTGGTCAAATCTGGGTTGGACAACTAATTTATTTTAAAACTCTGATACAAAAATCACAGAATTTCAGAGTAGGAAAGGATTTCAGAATCCAACTGGTACTTGACAATGAATCCCCTCTACAAGAGATCCAACAAGTAGTTATCCAACTTAAGCTTAAAGATGTCTAGTGAAGGTGGACCCATTATTTCCTAAACCAGCCTATCCCACTTTTAGAAAGTTCCAGTTGTTAGGAAGATTTTCCTTACATCAAGTTTAATCTACCTCTCTGCCACTTTTCCTGACTGTTATTTTGGGATAAAACAAAATAAGTATAATCCTTCTTCTGCATTATAGTCCTTCAAAATACTTTAAGGTAGCTATCTTGTCCCTACTAAGTCTCCTCCTCTCCAGCAACACTGGTATGAGTTAGTTATTAGGAAAGAAAATGTCCTGATTGTGCTACTGAATGATGGCAAGCCCTAATGAAGCAACACAGTGGGGTCCCTTAGGTAAACATGAAGATCCAGAAAATCTAGGCTGATATTAAACCTAAGAAAAAGCATTACAGAAAATCAAAATCCCCTACTTCACAATTTTGCCTAAGGCTGGCCTTTCCCCCTTTTAAGAGTGGAGGAAATTAAAGCTTAGAAAAACTAAATAATCTTGCCCCTAGAGTCACTCAAATTGTGGCCTCCCTCCAAATTGTGGTTCATGACCCCTACGTTTCAACCTTATTCTATAACCTTAATATATACATCATCCTTCAATAACTCAGTAGTTCAGTTTTTATCGTCATCTTTTTTGTTTTTAAGGTTCTACTGCTTCATACTTTAATAAAACTTTGTTTTATTGTTCTGAGGATTGGCACTCAAAATTTAATTGAGCAACAAACTGCATCATCTCCAAATCTAAAACCCTTCTTATAAAGAGGAGGTATGGGATATTATTTATTTTACATCATACCTAGAAAAAAATACTTTCCAATTTAAGACAGCTATCATTCCAATTCTCCTACCATCTCCAAATGAAAAATGGAATAATGGACAGATCATAATTAGATTAAACACCATACTCCTCTAATTCAGTCACTGAATTGAGGCATTTAGGGATTTTATTCAAAGAGTTATTTAGATAGTTTACTGTAGCATTTTTTTGAAATGAACCAAAATGCTGTTTTTAAGAGAAGTTTCAAAATACAAATCATGAACACACGCAAACCAAATGTAGACAATTTACCAATGAAGTTTTAAAACAACATATGAACCAAAATTAATTTTCATTATGTTAATCATTTGAAGTCCAAGGCCAGAATCTTCTTTTTTGCTTTTCTTAAAGGAGCTAAGTGAATCCTTCCTTTCAATAATAAAAACTACATTTTTCAGGCTAAAATAAGGCCTAGGCAGTTATGTCTTTCAGGTCACTTTCAAAAGTCTTATCATAACACATTCTTATTCATGGATGACTAAGTATAAGAATTATAATGATGATTATAACAATTCTTAATGTCTAACAAGAATAGTTTTAGGAAAGTGAATTTTGTTTTATTTTAAAAGTATGTTATATTTGAAATCAATGCATTTGGGGGATAGTCTACTCTGAACAAATTTCATTCTATAGGGAACCATTACATGCTTATACAAACTGAATAAACCTAATCAGGTTATTCTGACTTGTTTAAATGTGAACATCAATTTTTTCGAAAGGGTGATTAGGAATATTTTGTAAGCATTGCACTGTTTCTAATTTGCCTTATGGGAAAAATATTGAACCATTCAAGCTTATTCTTATACTTCTGACCAATATGCTGGAAAATTTAAAATTCCATCATTTTCAGGCCTTATCCTACACAAGGAATAAGACAAAGACATCATTTACCAAAAAAACTATAAACTTTTTTCATTATCTTCTATTTACTCCCATACATTCTATCAAGATAGCATCTTAATACAGATAAATTTATTTTAACATTTGACAAAAACCATATATCAGACTAAACAGGAAATGCATTCATGCATATATAAAGTAAAACCAAGTTAACGTAAAATAACCCCTGGATCTAAAATGCCAGATTGTTTACAAACAAGTTTGAGAGTTTTCAATCCTGTATATAGCATATCACTCAACCGGAACAGTTTAAACTCAACAACAGAAGTAATACATGAATTCCATGTAAAATAAAACTAGACTTTTAAAGTTTTCTTGTTTAAGTCAGATTAAACTACATTGTTCATTCACAAAGGGCAATAAAATAGAAAGAAAGAAAAATCCCTGCTAATTTTTTCATTTATAAGGTTATTAGAAAAGAATCCCATTGCATGAGGAGTTTGGGAAGGGGGGCAGAGAGCATGGGGAGAGTGGAATAATTTCGATTAAGGATGCTGCTATATAATTAACACAAATAACTAAATAATTATGCATATCCTTCCCCACCCCCAAAATTAAATGTTTTTAAACATCTCATGTGATGAAAGATCTACCTTTTAGGAAAAAAAACAAAGAAGATTTCTACTAGTATAAGGGTTTAGGACTATTGCATCAGTTATAAATAGTTATAAATGTAGTTTGTGATTTTTATCTTGCATATTTCTGATAAACAAACAGATGATGACATAATTTGCAAAAGAAATTTGCAATGATGCTTAAGAAAACATCACTTCCATGAAAGTATTTATGATTTTAAATCACTGTGGCTGAATTTATGAGAGCTATATTTAAGTCCAGAAGAAGCACCGCCAAAAACTTTGTTCTATGCATCTGCAATCGAGACTGGATTCCTTCATTATCTGAGCTGACAGCAGTCTACATACAACTGAATTCCTTTACAATTAGACAGATCAAAATCCAGCAACTTCTGAAAATACTGTTAAAAAGCTTCCTCATTTTGAAGGTTATAAAATTTAAACTTTAAAACATTTTAACATATTTCAAAACCAATTCTCTCTTAGCTAAATCACTCTTTGCAATCAAGGTTTTCTTCTCTAATCCTGATCAAAAACTCTCCCTTGCTTTCCTAATTGAAATGTCCAATGCCTACAAATCTCCCATGCCTTTACTTCATTGGCCTGTTTTGTTTGTGTGGGCTTTTTTTTTTTTTTAAAGGATGCTAGGAGCTATTATTTATGAGCAGTAAGGAAACAAATCACTCTGTCTAGTCCTCTTGCAGATTCCCACACTTATTACCCCCAATCCCACAGATTTCCACTAGTCCTGTCTTTGCATAAAGTACAGTGCTGAGACTGAAAGCAGTCCCTGGGGAAATCTGACCATACCCTTCTTGACAAATTGCTATAGATATTCTAGGATCTAAGTTGAGTTAAAACAAGTCCTGAAACTTCTTAAAAGACAGGGTTGACTCCCGCCATCAGTATCTTGGAAGGGGAAGGGAGAGAGATTGTACAGACTCAGAGAATTCTCATTTTGACCTGTTTTAGCTTAGAATGAAAGATTAAAATGATTAACATTTTAAACTTAATTCATGCTGGGGGACCATTTCAAGACACTCGAAAGTGCAAATCTTACTAGGAAAATACTTACTTTACAAACTACTTAAGATAATTTTTTTTTGTTGTTTTTTTTTTTAATGCAATCGGTTCCTCTAACGGGCTTTGGGTGAATTCCTTGCCAAGTGGATCAATAATCTACAAACTGCAGCTAGCATTCTCAAACATTTCCAAACACAAGTTTGGAATTGGTCTCAATTCCATAACCTCTTTTCCCTCCCTCTTATTATTTTAAAAAAGCCCCGAAGTATAAGGGAGTCTTCCCTAAACCAGATCTTAAAGTGACACAAACACGTGAGTGCTTTTCACTTTGCACACATACTCAGAAAGTAGTTGCAATTAAAATAATTTAAAGCTTCCTGTCTCGGGAGAGCTCAATAATGAAGGATGAGCTATGTCCCTCAATTGCGAAGAGGGAGGGCAATGGCGAAGGAGAAAAGAAAAGTGAAATAGAAAGGTTGGGGGTGAGGGAGAAAGGGGGCACTTAAACTCTAGGAAGGGTGGGGAGTAGAAGGCTTTGTCCAACTTTCAGGGTGTGCCCCCTGACGTGTCAGAGATGGACAAAAAGAAAATTAGATGGCTCTAGAATACGGTCCACCACATCACCACCACCAGCACCCCTGATAAAAGACAAGCCTCTCAACGAAAATATAAAGTTATCTAATTTTCTAGGCTGGATTGACGCATACGCTGAAGCATCCCACTGGGCAGCTGTCCCTGATGATGACATTAAGGTTTAAAGCCTCCAGATGCCCCCCTCTCGCCTCCTCCTTTACCCTCAACCCAATTCCCCCTCCTATAAAGCACTTCATGAAACTCCGATCCCCACCCCCTCTCCCTACACCCCCCTCCCCCCCAGCCCGCTTCCTTTTCCTTATTCTCCAGCTGGAGCTGAAAATGAGTGCTGAGTGGAGAGCACTGTGAACAGCAGAGGGAAGCTCTTCTGCTTTGGATATCTGCCCACAACAATATCTGTACGAACAACAAAGTTAAAATGATTAGATTCAGGCACCTTACCCGGTCTCTTTAAAGTCTCCTTTTGCGTGGGATGCAAAGTGGAACAGTGATGGGCTGGGGGGAAACAAGAGGAGATTGGAGATGGATTTTGGTAGATCGCCTTTTTTCCCCCGTGTGTCTATGTGTGTATGTGTGTGTGTGAGAGAGAGAGAGTGTGTGTGTGTGTGTGTGTGTGTGTCTCTCCCTCTGTCTCTCTCGCTCGCTCACTCTTTCTGTGTTGCTCTCAAGGACGAGGTGAAATCCCTTTGCTGGTCATGAGGCGGCTTCAGAGACAAACAACACAATGCGAGTGCAAATAACAAAGGCAAAAAGACACTGGAAACAATGGGGGAGGAGAGGGCAGCCGCACCAGCTCTCTGTACACTCGCCAGTCACCTCAACACACGCTGGAGAGGTGGTACGGGGGGAGGGAGGGAGGGGAAGAGGAAGGGGGGGACTCCCTCTCTCACTTCAGATCTCTTCTGATGTTTCTTAAACAAACCCTGACCTCCTTACTGGAGCTCTTCCCCCCCAGCCTCCCGCTTAGTCTGGCCAAATAGGAGGGAGAGAGATAGTTTTCCCTCCTATCTGCTGCAGAGTAACTAGATTGTAAAATAACACAGTGATTACTAACACGGTGTAAGAATTAAAAAAAAAAATCTGTCTGCCACTTAAAGGAGCAATAAAATAAAATCGCGGGAGTGCAAAGGAGTCATGGATATAGGAATATATATATATGGATATATATATGGATATATATGGATACATAGGATATAGGAATATATATGGATATATATCTAAATAGCTATATCTCGATTCCAATGCACCTATAAATATGCATGGATGTTTAATCAAGTCCCCTTTGTCAACTTCTTCACCGCGCAGAAATCCTCGCTCATGGCTGGGAAATCATTACCTGATCTCCTTCCAGGAGCCCCTCTCTCAATCTGCCAACAGTAAACATCGCTCTCTCTCTCTCCCTCTCCCTCTCTCTCTCTCTCTCTCTCTCTCTCTCTCTCTCTCTCTCTCTCTC